TGAGAATTGGATTTTCATTTCATTTAGCTCCATTTAAATCAATTCTATGGATACAAAAACCAAATGAAAATGTTGCATTCAAGTTTAATTAGTTAAAGCGTTAATTAATTAAAGAAAGGGTGATTATGAACCTTAGCCTACGATAATTGAGCTATGTGAAAGGCCGTTTCAAATTTGTTTGAACCATGGGAATGTGTAGATTAAATTTTGGTTGTAATTTGATATGATCAATTGTTATAAAAGAGCATAAGCTCTTCTTTACTTTAAAAGTAATTTGATTTGATCAATTGTTGTAAAAGAGCATAAGCTCTTATTTACTTTGAAGTACTCCTTTCTTGTTTTATTCGATATGCATGAAATTGGAGTAGTTGGGTCCAACGCCCAATAAGACAACACGCCTTAATGTGATTAAACGCGTAACTAAAATCAATCTCCATCCCTAGACCGAGATTCAACACTAGGCTCGTGTTTGAATCGAATCAAAGGTTCATAGTCATCCTAAGGCCCTAAGGCAACTATATAGTCCATCAATGAATGCAAATCTTATGTTAGTAGTACCATATAGTCTTGCTTTAAAAACCGTTTTAAAAGCATAGTGGGAGTATTATATACTACTAAATCAATCATATGGACCAATAGTTGTAATAGGACCAAAATGTTTTAATTGGATTAAAATGTATGTTTATATGTGATGAGACCTAAAAACCCTCAACCAAATCAATATTAAGTTGATAAGCGAGATATGCTTTGAATATCTCTTCGTGGCCTTCCACCGTGGTAGGCTCCAATCGTTTGTGACTTGTACACCGGCTTCACCCTATCATGGGCGAGTACAAAGTGCATGCTTACATTCAGGAGGAGTCTATACGCATATGATGAGGTGAGTGTAGGCAACGAGGATGGCCAACATCATATCATTGTGAGGCTATTCTTGAACCCCTACACGAACTAAGCATGGTGGGTGTAAACACGAGAAATTCCTGAAACAAGAGACAAGAATACGTGTACAAAATATATTTTTTTGTATTAATGATTTTGGGGTTACAATCTCTTTGTAATTTGATCCTCTGATTCTATCTTCGTAGGATGTGAGTTTGTGGATGAGTTGTTGATCCAAAGGGCCGTTGGGGCTTGATCTAAGGATGCACAGTTGATGAATGGATCTTCAAGGGGCGTTGGGCTTGATCTTGAAGGCTGATGGATGAACAGATCTTCAAGGGCTTTTGGGCTTAATCTTGAAGGATGAACGGATGTGTGGATTTGTTGAGGTTGTTGATCCAAAGGGGCCGTTGGGGCTCGATCTTAGGATGAACGGATCTTCAAGGGCTTCTGGGCTTAATCTTGAAGGATGAACGGATGTGTGGATTTGTTGAGGTTGTTGATCCAAAGGGGCCGTTGGGGCTTGATCTTAGGATGAACGGATGATGAGCGATGAACACTTTCCTCAAGGGCCGTCGGGGCTTGATCTTGAGTTGGTGGAAGTTCTTCAAGGGCCGTTGGGGCTTGATCTTGAAGGTTGATGGATGATGAACGATGAACGAAAAGTGCTTTCTTGATTCTTCGGGATTTGCTTGAGAGCTTTAGAGTTTCAAGGCTTCTTTCTTTCTTCCTCCCCCAAAATGAATGCATTGGCCTCCTATTTATAGAATTTCAAAACTTGATTTTTGGATTTAAATAATCAGATGAAATAAATCATTTCTGCCAGGTATTGACACGTGTCATATTTGATGACTTTTCCAATTTATTTCGATTTTTCGTTGAATCACACGCTACATGTAAAATTTATGTGACACGTGAACATTGAAATTTTAATTATTGGTCAACATTCATTTCACCGAAATTTTGATGTCTACAAATGCCCCCACTTCAAGGCGCGTCGTAGACATGTGCTTGTCACGTGTAGAAGATGCGTTTTGAAGTCCCTTAATGTAGATGTCAACCCAAGGGCCGTCGAGGCTTGATCTTGAATTGGGCTGGAAATTTCTTCAAGGGCCATCGAGGCTTGATCTTGAGCTTGACTGGAAGATTTTCTGGTTTCCTCCAATCGTTGATTTTCCACAGGCTTAATCTTGAACTGGGCTGGAGGATTCTTTTGGTCTCCTCCGAAGGTCTGAACTTACTCCTTTTATCTGGAGTTGAATTTGATTCAAGGGTGGTGAACACTTGATTTTGAATCGGACTTGTGATTTCTTCAAGGACCATCGAGGCTTGATCTTGAACTGGGCTGGAGGATTCTTTTGGTCTCCCCCTACCGTTGATTTTCCTTTGTGCTACTCTTGAATTGGGTAGCAGGATTTAGACACATGGCAGGCAAGCAGGAGGTGGAAGTGATGGCCTGTTTCTTTGTTCAATCTTTCCCCAATTCATATTGAAGAGGGTAGATCGGAAGACTGACTCCAAGTGCCGTCTGATTGCTCTTTTCACTTTGCCATGCAAGTAATAACAAGGACAAAGGAAAGGACATGGAGAAAGCATGATATAAGATACCTTTGCTTTTGAGGAAGCAGCGAATGAATCAGCACATATATTTGTTGTGTTTGTCTCCACATGCTTTGATGTATCATTTTCACTTGTCTTACTTGCTCCCTTTACAGAAGTGGTATTTCCTTATGCGGGTTTAGCATCTTCTCGTGTAGTATTTGTCCTCTGATGCAGGAGTGGAATGCAACCTTTGCATTTAAATGGTGCTTCAAAACATTACTTCTCCGCGACGATGAGTACTCGAGAGCAATGCAAGGTAAGCAACCAGGCAAAGGTTCCAGGCAATCAGTTCCAGGTCGGAAGTTTGATTTCAGGTTCCGACTGATAACTCTATTTCCCCTTCTCCTGCAGGTAAGAGCAAGGGTAAAGGAAAAGACAGGGAAAAAGCATGATATGAGATACCTTTGCTTTCGCCCTTGATGATATGAGATACTTTTGCTTTTGAAGAAGCGGTGAATGAATCAGCACATGCTTCCATCTACCGTTTCCTCCTGGGTCATCTGTGCTCCAGGCATCTGGTATCATCTTTGGGGAAGAGAAAAAAAATTGAGTATTTTGAGATGTTTTGCTGGGAGTGTACTTTTGGAGGTGAGGAAGAGTTGGACACATTTTTTTTTTCCGCAGGTCTGCCTTGCCATAAAAGATGAAGGTCGACATATATAGGGATTTCCCAATAGCAAGTGGTGGTACTGTTCTTTTACCCTTGTCGACAAACGTTTTGATCCTGCAAATCCGGCTTTTTGAAATAGTGACGACTCTTCGATCTTTGAATACGCCTCTTTGATTTCTGAACGACGCCTCTTCGATTTCTGAACGAGTGCCTCTTTTGACAAAGCTGCACGCGTTTTCTGAAAAGCAGAGAAAGCGTCGCCGAACTTTGCGCTTGTCAGCTAAAGATGTGTAGCTGCGATGATGACCTCCACGTGATCTTTTGACAAAGTGGCACCCGTGCTCTGAAAAGCCGCGAAAGCGTCGCCAGCCTCCACGTGTTTTCAACTTTGTCGGAGATCTTTTGACAAAGTTGAACGCGTTTTCTGAAAAGCAGAGAAAGCGTCGCCTAACTTACGCCGGAAAATCCAGCTTTTGAGATTTGCAGAGCGATGTCTCTTCATTTTTTTTGAATAAGCGGCCCTTCGATTTTCTGAACCAACGCCTCTTTGATTTCTGAGCAAGCGCCTCTTCGTTTTTATAGAGGTATTGATCACCTCTAACATGCACACTTCGAAGGTTGCTCATTCTTGAAAATCATCTCCGGCCTTTTGAGTTTTAACTCCATCCACCCATCTCTTTTAACACCTTTGAAAAATGGCTAACCCATCGAACCTTAGCTTAGAATTGAGTCTCAGCAGTGATCCGGTTGCGCCGCTTCAAGGTAATGTATGGTGTCCTTCTTTCTTATCTTCTAACGGTCCTCTTACAGGTGAAGACTCCGTGATGCAGGACGCCACAACAGCTACAATAGTAGCTAGGAACCTCCTTACTCCAAAAGATAGTAGGCTGCTGTCAGGACGGTCCGATGAGTTGGCCGTTCAAGAGTCCCTCGCTCTTAGTGTTCAGTGTGCGGGCTCTGTGTCCAACATGGGCCAACGCCTGCTTGCTCGGTCCCGTCAAGTGGAATCATTGATGGCAGAGGTGGAAGATCTTAAGCAGGAGATTAAACAGCTTAAGTACGAGAATAGAAGTTTGCATGTGCTTGCAAATAACTATTCGTCGGGCATGAAGAGGAAGCTTGATGAGATGCAAGAATCTCAAGGTCGCATTCAAAGTGACCGTCAAAGGCTTGCGTCTTTCTTCCAGAGGCACATTTTTCCGGTGTCATCAAGCGTTCCACCAAGTATTGGGGCCTCGAATGATCTATCTTCGGTGCTTCCCGCTCCTGGAGTTTGGCCGAGTAGTGGGGCTTGATACATTTTTTTTTTTTTTTTTTTTTTTTTTTTTTTTTTTTTGCACTTGTAATTGTTCGAAAATCAATGAACATACTTCGTTTTATTTAGTGTATTGTGCTAAATACAGAGAAAACATGTATATCACCAAGATTTTTTTTTTTTTTTTTTTTTTTTTTTTTTTTTTCAATGGTGCTGACCCACCAAAGTTTTTTTTTTTTTTTTTTTTTTTTTTTTTTTTTTTTTTCTTTATAAGGCCATCTGCAAGGCTGAGTTCGTGGGTGAAAACCCAGGCTGAGTTCGTGGGTGAAAACCCAGGCCGAGTCCGAGAGAAGACGGAGGAGATCTTTGGGTGTGAGTTGACAAACTTTGATTTTGTCAATCACATTCAAAGGCAGCAGCAGAGGCAAGCAGACGGACGAGATCTTTGGGTGTGAGTTGACAAACTTTGATTTTGTCAATCACATTCAAAGGCAGCAGCCATGGCGGAAGTGCAGAAGCAGCCAGAGGCAGAGCGTAAGACGTCGAGTTTGAAGACCGGCTAGTCGTTTGACGGCGGTCAATGAAGCTCTTCGTTGATTTTGATCATGGTGGCCAGGGTGACGAGCTCGAGGTTTGTTGGCAGCGTGAGGAGGTCAATGATCGAAAAGAGAAGGCCACGCTGCTCATCCTTAGAGAGAGACAAACTGCCCATACTGCAACATGAAGATCTTACTGGGCTAGATGGGCAGAATGGAGAGCATGGACGAAGAGCTCAACGAAGACGGAGACGGTTCGGGGCTTGGTGGATTTGTCGCTGCGTTTTGGTGAGATCTCCGTTGTGTTTTTTTTTTTTTTTTTTTTTTTTTGTAGTGCTGCAAATGTCTCCATTGGTGGAGATGAAGAAGACGAGCATGGACAGAGAGCTCCCTGGATCCGCAGTTGTAGACGCACCTCATTCGATTTTCCCAGTCTATATAACAGCAACAGACGCCGACGACGGGACGAAGAGGTCTTGCAGGGGAGCTGTGGAGAAGGTTGGTGAATCACAGCAATCTGCGGCAAGTCCAGTTGCTGGAGCTGGGTTTGCAGCTTTTCTGGCGTGGAGATGGTGACTGGTGGTGGAGATGGTGACTGGTGGTGGGCGTGGAACGATTTTCTTCTTTTTCCCTGCCGTACGTCCAAGTATACCGAATTCAACAGCAGCCTTATACTGGATTGGGATTTCCATGAGGGCAGCCAGAGCAAATGCAGTTTCTTTCTCGGATGAAGTTGTGTGTTTAGACATAATTTCGGTGAAGTTAACGAACTGAAAATTATCAAATTCGCGTGAAGGGAGCTTGTCATTGAACTTCCTCATGTCTTCCCAAGGACCACCCCCGACTCCAACAAGAACACTCGAGAGCGGATAGAAACTTGCATCTGCAATTGATCCGATCGTCTTCTGCTCCTGTGGACTCAATTCATTGTCGCTAGTATCGATACTTCTGGTGACCTGGCCATCTGCAATGATAACTAAAACATGGTATTGCCCTCCACTTTTCTCCACAATATCCATTGCAGCTTCAACTACAGGTCCATAAGATGTTAGCCCCGAAAGTCGCAAATTTGGAAGTATTCTTTTGTAGCAGGCCAAGACTTTTTCGAAACCATGGCAAGGCGAATGATCATTGTGAAAGCTAAACACCTCTTGATCATGAGTGGTAGCATCACCAAAGTCGAAACAAGGAATGAGGTTGTCTTCATCAAATGGAGCTAAAGTTTTTTCAATTATGGAGATAGCTTTCTCATATGGATTAGGTTCATCGCCAATGGCGTGCAGGCTCCGGTTTCTGAATGAAACTTTGCCCGTCCATTCGTTGCTCTTGGTGAAGTCAATTCTGACGATGAGATTAGATGACTCTAAACCTTCTTTTCTCAAGGCATCTGTAACCTGTTGAAGGGTCTGGCGCGATCGGCAAGCTGCCCGAAGATAATTCATCACATATCGAGTGATTGGATGCAATCCGCCGCCAGGAACTGGAGTTTTTGCAGGGTCAAGACTGATCAGATTCTCCAACTCCATGAAAATGCCTCTGATCGCTTCGCCTAACCTTTTCCAAATCGTAATCGCTTCGTTCTGGAGAAACAAGCAGTACTGATCGGAGAACACTGACTCGAATTCGGGCATCAAATCCCGCAAAGTCTCGAACACATCGAGAATCTTGAGCAATCGCTCCGGCGATCGGCTTCCAATCGCCACTGCGTCGGCGAAATTCAGTATCTGAATAGTCGAGCCTCGGCAAACCTCCATGAACGAGAGGTCCGCGGCGGAGGAGAAGAGAGTAAAGCAGAAGGAGAGGTGCAGAAACGGAAGCCTCTGGTACGATTTGCCTTCCATTCTCACTCGTCTGACAGTCCGAGGGAGAGAGAGAAGAGAGAGAGGCTGATCCAATCTTGAAGAAGAGCCGCCACAAAGATCTGAGAAAAAAAAGAGAGATTGAGAGCTGTGCCTGGGCCCGGATTTGGGTATATGGGACTTTGTCTTCAACTCAACAATCCAGCCCACCATTTTGGGCTTGTCGACATTTGCTTTCTTTTTTTTTTTTTTTTTTTTTTTTTTTTTTTTTTTAGTAGAGAATATATATATATATATATATTTTTCCTAATACATAGTAACATATGTATTTTTTTTTCTTTTTTTTTTTTTTTTTTTTTTTTGAAACCAACAACATGTAATTTTTGTACAAAGAACGCAATAATATTGACTTTCATTAATCACTTTTACTACAACCTCATTTTGATGTGACTGAACTCAAAATTAAACGTTCGAGCTACCTACGTACCCTTCCAACGAAGAGATCAAGTCGAAACATAGTTCAAACGTTTTTTTTTTTTTTTTTTTTTTTTTTTTTTTTTGATAATAAAATTGACTTTCTTTAATGAAACATTTATTTATTTCTTTAACGAAGAGATCAAGTCATAACGTAGTTCAAATGAGTGATGGTTTTAATGATGATTTTGCCGTACACAGTTTATGCTCTTGCGGGCCAGGAGCGTGGTGTGTTTGCTTTAGGGGTAGTAGCGCTTCAAAAATCTGCCGTTGATGGGGCCGATCCTTAACCCGTCTTCTGCCATGATTAAGTAGGCGCCATTGGTGTAGATTTCTTGTATCACGTAGGGTCCATCCCACTTTGATGTGAACTTGCTTTTTGTCTTATGAGTTGTAATGATAGGCCTACGCAACGCCAGCACGAGATCTCCGGCTTGGAAAGACCTTGGGCGGATTTTCTTGTTGAATGCCTTGGATAACCGTGCTTGGTAGCATTCCAAGTGTTGTTGAGCTTCGAGCCTTCTCTCATCCAGCGCTTCCAACTCCTGAAGGCGCAACTTTGCATTTTCTTCATCAGTCAAGCCTTCTTGTATAGCCATCCTTAGTGAGGGGATTTGACTTTCGAGCGGTAGAACAGCTTCTACGCCATATACAAGAGAATAAGGTGTAGCTCGGGTAGGAGTCCTATGTGTAGTCCTATATGCCCAAAGTGCTTCACTTATTCTTTCATGCCAATCTCTCTTTGTTCGGCCGATTACCTTTTTCAGGAGGTTGCACAACGTCTTGTTGAATGCCTCTGCCAGGCCGTTGGCCGGAGCATGATACATGGAAGACTTGTGCTGCTTGAACTTGTATTTGTCGCAAAGCTCGTCCACGAGTCGGTTGGAGAACTGCTTTCCGTTGTCAGTGATAATGTAGCGAGGCACCCCATATCGGTGGATGATATGCTCCTTGATGAAACGAACAACAGTTTCCTTTTTTACTTCCCTTAAAGGTATGGCTTCAGCCCACTTGGAGAAGTAATCTGTTGCAGCTAGGATGTAAGCTTCCCCTGCAGATGACTTTGGCGTAATTGGTCCTACAACGTCCAATCCCCATGCGTCGAACGGCCATGAAGCAACTGTAGGGTGTAATGGTTCAGGCGGTTGATGTATGAAGTTGGCGTGGAACTGGCAGGCTTGGCACCTTTTGGCGTGTTCCAGGCAGTCCTTCACCATACTTGGCCAGTAGTAACCCATTCTTTTAAGCCGGAAATGTAGCTTTGGCCCAGACTGATGTGCCCCACACACACCTGAATGTGCTTCTTCCATGGCTTGATTAACTTCTTCCTCACCTAGGCATCTCAGGAGTACTCCTTCAAAAGAGCGTCGGTAGAGTGTTCCTTTGTAGTAAAGAAAGCGAGGTGCTCGTCGACGTATTTCGGAACGGTGTCTAAGATCATCTGGAAGCTTTCCGTGCTCTAAGTAATCGATCAGCGGCTGTCTCCACTCTTCAGCATCGACTGGAAGTACTGAGATGACATTTGTATCATCTAGTGACATTTCATTAACGAGCGGAATCACCCACCTTTGGCAAACTGGCACGTCTGCAACTTCATCTTTTCCTAGTGTCATACTCGAGGCTAGATTGGCGAGAGCGTCTGCCATTTGATTTTCCTTTCTTGGCACATGTTCCAGTGTCACAGCTTCGAACTTTCGTAGCAGTTAGGTCGCTAGCCGGAAGTATGGGACGAGATCATCTTTCCTCACCTCATATTCAGTTAAGAGTTGATTGATTATGAGCTTGGAATCGCCATACACCTCAAGAGCTGTGATTTCCATGTTGATCGCCATTTGGAGCCCGATTATCAATGCTTGGTACTCAGCAACATTGTTGGAGCATAGCTCATTCAGTTGGAAGGAGTAAGGTAGTATTTGCCTTTGTGGCGTCATGAATACTACTCCTGCCCCCGCTCCGTCTGCTCGTGCGGATCCATCGAAGAACATCGTCCATGTCGGAAAAATATTGATGTAGAACACCTCTTCATCAGGCAAGTCGTCTGAGATTTTCCAATCAGCCGGGATTGGATGATCAGCAAGGAAGTCTGCTAGCGCTTGTCCCTTAACAGCTTTAGCTGAGACGTAGATGATCTCATATTGATTAAGAAGCAAAGCCCATTTAGCGAGTCGCCCCGTCAAGACTGGCTTAGACATAACGTATTTAACAGGGTCGGCTTTAGCAACCAAGTGGATGGTGTAAGCATGCATGTAATGTCTGAGTTTCTGAATGGCAAACACCAAAGCGAGGCACATCTTTTCTATTGGGGAATAGTTCAACTCAGCGCCGGTGAGAGTCTGACTGAGGTAGTAAAGTGCTCCTTCTTTTTGGGATTCATTCTCTTGCGCCAAGAGTGCTCCGATTGAATTTTCCTGAGCAGCAATATACAATATGAGTGGTTTCCCGGGCACAGGTGCCCCCAGGACAGGTGGACTTGACAAATATTTCTTTATGCTTTCAAAAGCATTATGGCACGCTTTGTCCCATACGAATGGGACATCTTTCTTCATAAGGCGACTGAACGGTTGACAACGCCCTGCGAGGTTGGAAATGAAGCGTCTAATGAAGGCTAGCCGTCCTTGTAGACTTTTCAGCTCGTGCAGGTTTCTTGGCTCGGGCATGCTTTGAATGGCCTTGATCTTTGATTGGTCTACCTCAATACCACGGTGCTTGACGATGAAGCCAAGGAATTTTCCAGAGGTGACGCCAAACGCACACTTTAACGGGTTCATCTTGAGGTTGTATTTTCGCAGCCTTCCGAACACTATTTGCAGATCCTTCAAGTGGTCTGATCTTTTCTTCGTCTTAACCACCACATCATCTACGTAACATTCTACGTTCTTGTGTAGCATGTCATTGAAGATTTTCTGCATTGCGCGTTGATACGTAGCTCCAGCGTTCTTTAGGCCAAAGGGCATCACCTTGTAGCAATAGATACCTTTTGGAGTACGAAAGGCTGTTAGCTCCTCGTCTTCGAGGGCCATGCGAATTTGATTGTACCCAGAAGAACCATCCATGAATGATAATGCCTCATGGCCAGTGGTTGCATCCACCATGATTTCAATGATTGGCAAGGGGAAGTCGTCCTTTGGGCAAGCATCGTTGAGGTCCCGGAAGTCTACGCAAACACGTATTTGTCCTGATTTCTTAAGGACAATGACGATGTTGGAGATCCACTTGGGGTATTGCACTTCTCGAATAAAGCCTGCTTCGATAAGCTTGTCGATCTCGACCTCAATTTGTGGGATAAGCTCAGATCGATAGCGTCTTTGAGTTTGCTTTATCGGTCGTGTTCCAGGTCTGACCGCAAGATGATGAACAGCGATGATAGGGTCCAGGCCGGGCATTTCTTTGTAGGTCCAGGCAAAGACGTCTTTGTATTCTAACAACAGCTGATAATACTTCTCTATCTCATCTGTACTTAATAATGCACTTATGAAGATAGGCTTTGGTTCCTTGCTTGTACCTAAGTTGAGTTCCTTGAGATCATCCACTGTGGCTTGCCCCCCATCTTCGAGTTGTGGTGGTGCAGCAGTGACATCTTCCTCGGGGATTTCGTCTTCTTTACCTTCTTGAACCGTGATGTGGAAAACATCTTGGATCTCCTCTTCAGTGCTGTCTTCTTGAGCTTGTTGGCATAAGGATTGTCTGGTGTGGATGATAGTACGCCTTCTCACTTTCAGTGGTCCCTTTGTGTCGACCTCCAAGATTGCTTGGCGCTTCATCCTTGAAGGAATCAAGCTTCGAACGTCATCTTTTTCTCCTAACCCATCGAGCTTTTCTTCCTTTGGTGTTGTCTTCCTCTTTCCAAAAGGCTTCTCATTATCTTCAAATTTTTCTGAAGCTGATCGTCGCAGAGGAGAGATAACTGTGCTGCTTTGTTTCTTAAGCTTTAACAACCGTTCAAAAACAGAGTTTTGGGATGTTGGCGCGTTAAGCCTCTTGAAGACAGAGGTTTGGTTTTCACCACCAATGCGATTAAACACTGACGTTCTGGAGCTTGAATGGCTCATCCTATCGAAGACCGACGTCCGAGGGGAGGGTTTAGGCTCTTCTTGGTCTTGTTCAATGCTCACGCTGATGTGTTGAGCGCTAGTGTTTTTCGCTTTGTTTGAAATCATCACAGGTGCATTTGGCGTGAAACCAAGTCCGGCTTTGTTGTTGTCAACTCCGTAACCATGCTCCTTCAACTTCTTTTGAGTTTTGGTAAGGTTACGTTCTTCGTTATTGACGGTGTTTGAAACCTTCTTTCCAGCCACCGCAAAAGAAGCGAAGTCGTACCCGGCCTTTGACATGAGTTTGTAGGCGTTAGGGTCGAAACCTTCCTCGGTCCTTTTGGTTGGAAGAAAGCTTGATTCCACCTTCTTTGGTAGAGCTTTTATGAAGCCTTGTGGTAGTCTTGCGACCTTAGCACCCCATAGCTGTGTCAAAGGCAAAACTGCATTTGTCTTGAGTAACTTCACATTATCCGTGTGCCACTGTGTGTCGGCTTTTCTTGTTTCAGTTTCGAATGGAGATTGACCATTCGGTCCTTCTGACGGCGTCCTACTCCCTTTGGTTGTTGCAGGTTTAGCAAACTCGTCATCGTCTTTGCTTGAAGATGGCACAGTCTGCTCTTTTTGCTTTTTAGGCATGACTTGCCACTCCTGCTTTGTAGGTGCTGCTTTGCCCGTGGATTTGATATCTTCCAGAAGGGCTTCGGGTACCACGTCTTC